GATCTGGGTATCTTCTATGCATGACCCAGACCCCACCATCTCATGATTGTATGTGTGTGGAGTGATGCCATGTAGGTCAGTCTATGTGAGTCAGTTCGTTATAAGACTTCCACTGCATAAAAACTCATCCTATATTGGTTGATTCTTGGTTCTGCCCATACTCATTTGAGTATGTAACAGGGAGACTGCAGAATGTACTACCTTGTCTGAAATTTCTGGGTCAATCTGGTCATTCTCTTCCTTATCTAGATCAGTGTCCCGGCCCAGGATCTCACCTTCATCATCCCCTTCCCACTCAGAACAATCAGAGGCGTCACTTCTGTAGAACCTGTCACAATCCAGGGCGAATGCTCTTGCATCTAGATCCTCATCCCCTTCCAGCTGTCCTGATTGGACAATTTGAGCCTTTCCCTTTTTAGCTCAGAAAGACTTCGATATTTAACGTTTTGTCGCTTCAGACGTACCATTTAAGGACTGGCAGCTCTGCACTATCACAAAAAGCAAGAAGGAAATCAGGGAATCTCTGCATGTTGTGCCCTCCTTTTCGAGCGAAGGGATACATGCAGACCTGACCTCGTGAACCATACAAAATTTTGCCTGCCCTCGGGTGGCAATTTCTTGAGGGCTAACCGGTAAACCGGTTTCAGGCAGACAGGGAGTCAATTCTTCAAGAACTATGGAGGTCCTCAAAAGCCCCCAAAGGCCCCAAAGATGACCCTTTTATGGGCCCTCTGTTTTAAGTTTTGCTCCCCCATTCCAGCCTCCTCACCACACCTCTCCTTAACCCTTTTTTCCACGCCCTTAGTCATGAGGCTTAGCAAATAAAAAGCCTTTTTTGCGTGTGGTGTTGGTATACGCAATGGATGAAACTCTAGCCCAGGAGAACCAACCAACTATCTCAAATAAATGACCGATGTACCTGACCCCCCATGCTAACGTGTGCGTGAGTTGCAGCTTTGAGTGTTCCTGTTCTGATCCCATTTATGACAAAGAGTGCATGATTCTCCCCCTCCATCCCCAACTATTCAATTGCATCATCGAGGAATTTCATGGCTTCATCAACACGCATATCCCGAATATCAACAGTGTTTTCACTCCTCTTGATAGGAATTGGCGTTCTCCTCGCCGAGGCTGCCTTTCTCTCTACAACCCCGTCTTGCTTTTCGCTTCCTTCATCTGCTTTTTGGTAGGTATTGGCGATCCGGCCGTGGGAGAGAGTTCACTGAAGCTAACTGTCACTTGCATGAACCCACATTGTACTGTCACCTCCTTCTTGGCTTCGGACAACGTCAAGACTCGCCCCTCCATTTTCAGTCGCTGCACGACTACCATCTCCCCTACCTTTGGGATGCACATAAATGTGGTTGCAGCTGCTCCTTCAGTTCTATCCATGGTGCCCTTTTCTTGCCTAAGAGTTTCCTCGTCTGCCAAGGACTTGCTATCAGCTTTATTGTTCGCGTCTTGTTGTGAAGGGCCCCTTGTTCGATCCATGCCGACGGGTTGTTCATCCCTTTGTTGTCCTTCGCTGGACTCTTTTGCCACAGGTGCTGCAAGTTGCTTTCGGCGTTTGTTCCTCGCTTTCCTAAGTGACGACTGGATAGAGGACTGTGTTGCCTGAACGACACTCTGGATTTCATCTGATCTTCGCAACAAAAATTCAGCTTGATGTTGTTGCAGCCGCAGCACGGCCTGCTTGACATCGGAATGCATCCTCTCTGCCTCTTCCAGAAGCTCTTCTGCTTGAGAGATTGTCCCTTCATACCTACGCCGCTCGTTCTCCATATTCATGATTACCTCGTTCACCTCTGCGTTCGTTGATCCATGCAACCGTCTTGCCTCATCAATGATCGACATCAGTACGCCGAGCTTCCAAGCAATGTTCAGTGCATTTGACCGACCTGGAATGCCCCAAAGCTGGCGATAAGTTGGGGCAAGCTTGTCTACATCGAATTCCACAGAAGCATTCTCAAATCGGCTATCGACATACTTTAGAGCCTTTAACTCCCCGTGATGTGTGGTGGACATTGCGAGAAGAGACCCGCTCGGGCCATTTTTGTGCAAACGACTGAAGAAGTGAGATCCCAAGCGCTGCGCCTTCGACTGGATCGGTACCCACACCCACCTCATCGAGAACGACCAAGGAGCAGCCCCTAGTCTCTCTTTTGATGCTCATAACTCTGCGAATGTGCCCAGAGAACATCGACAAACTCTGAGAAAGTGACCGATCATCCCCGATGTCTGGCAACACCTTGTCAAACCACGAAATACGGACAGGATCTTGTGCCAGCACATACAACCCAGCTTTGGCCATCAGTGTCGCAAGTGCGATCGTTTTCAAAGATGCAGTCTTACCACCTGTGTTGGGTCCAGTGATGATCACAACGCGGACTCCTCTTTGCACGCAAACATCAATAGGGACTGGTGGAGTGGTTGCCAATGCCTCTGCCTCTGTTTCCGCCTCCGCTGCTGTCTGCTCTGCTTCCGTCACCACATATAGACCCCCACCCCTCATCTTCGCCATCATCGTCGCCCGCTCTTTCATTTTGGCTCGACCCCTGGCTTTCCGAATGCCCTCGCGATGTTGTTGCATCAACAGAGGATGCCGCGTCTTCTCCAAACACAAGACCCATGTGGTCCCATCGTTCCCATCTGGTTCCGCAGTTCCTCTGCCTTTGGCCACAACTGCGTCCCCCTCCCCACCTGCTGCCAGAGCCACTGCTTCCCCATGAGCATCGTTGCCCTCTCTCTCTCCCTCTCTCTTACTAGGAGACAAGCTTGCGGCATTGTTACTGACCTCAGCGGCATCCACAAACTGTAGACGACATCCTCCCATCCAGGAGTTGTACCGTGCCCACCCAACGATCACATCAAGTTGAACGACCGAGTCAAGCACAAATTGTATGTCATCAAGACAGTCTATAATTCTTTGTGTCAGGTGCCAGCAAACTGCCTCTTCGGCCTTCGCAACAGCCGCATTAGCCTCCGACAGGTTGTTGTTGAGAGGAACCGCTGCAGCCAGCTCGACGTAGAGAGTCGATCCACCAGCAGTGCTTCCAATAAGTAAGTCAGGCAAAGGGTCAACTGATCTGTCAGCGATCCCAACAGTGATGCACAACCGCCATCCCTACTTTACAACACCGGACGAGTTACCATATTTTGACACCGCGCGATTGAGTAGATCTCTGAACTTCTGCCGAAGGGAATCCCGCTGTATGACTGCACACCTTAACTCGGGAATTGCATTCTCGCGAATCGATCCGTCGTCGTCGTGGGCAGTGCTTTTCACAGCGTCGATGATTTCTGGGTGTGTGGCAATTGACTTGGTGATTGCCAGAAGAGGCAACAGAGAGGTGTCAGTCTGCTTGTCATCCCTTTTCTCTGCTGCAACGGTGTAGATTGTCCGGCGCATCTGTTATGTGGCCTCCAGCATGGAGGCCACAACCAACAACTCAACGTCAGTTAAAGGGGTTTGTCTTCTTGCACACCCCATTGCATTCGAGACGATATCCATTCGAATGCCCCCAAACTCCAGGGAGCCCCCATTTGCACTTTCCAACTTTATCATTGCTTATGTCTCTTTCAACAGCTCCTCACTCTCCTCCTGGGTGCCCGGAAGACGTAGGTTAAGAAGTTGGATGTTTCCCAGCGAAGTTGACGCAAACCCTGCAACCGATTCACAGAGTCGTGGCCAATCAACCATGTGCAAGCTATCTTCCTCCACGGGATCTCTCAATGTCCCTGAGAACGGGGATTGCAACTGTCTGTGGGTGGTCTGAAACACCGACTGATGAATCCGCAACAACTGCCACCAACGAAAGTTGTTCAATTTCATCAGCGTCATAATTCTCAGGCTTATCCCTTGCAGATGGTTCAACCCAGCAGGATCTGGTGGTCATATGCAGAACAGTATGGTGAAGCAAGCTCCGGTTACGAAGTTGCACCGAGCATGGCACCAAGGAGCTAATGCGGGTGTAGTTGTTGGAGAGCACGTGCATGCTTTACATTACTTGCTACAGTGTCCGGTGAGTCATTGCATGTGTTGATCGAAGCAATGGCCCATCTTGCTCCACATTTAAAGAAGATGCTACAACGTCGATTATGTTCCGCTTGAGCTGAGAATGCATTCGATGCGCTGAAGGTGTCCTGGCACAGAACCTTGGCAGAGCTCCGACACGCACCAAGCAGCTTACTGCACTGTCTAGATTCCCTCAGTCTAGATCTGTGGAGAGCGAAGTAGAGACGTTCATGCAGCGAAGAGTTTGTGGCAGGCGTGGGAAGAAAGGTACCTCAGTTCGGAAGACTTGAACGCTGGATTTGGTCGCTACCATCAGGGTGATGAGCAATGCAGCAAGTACATGACCCACAAAGATTAGCCCAAGGCAATAGCCTCCTACCAGTAGTAGTTGGAACTCTCAAGCTGAGGCTGGTTGGTACGTCAACTAAGGTTCGAGGTCGGTGTAGTTGTTGCATCTTCGCTTGCAACAAGCTGCAGCTGTCACAATTTTTTGTCAAACAAAAAAGTCAACGCACGTTGTTGACTTCTTGCTCAGTTGCGTACGTGCAGCTGCGATTCTGACAGACTGCAGGAACAAACAGCATGCATCTTGTTATCCTCCGTCTGCTCAGGTTCCAATACAGTAAGAGCTTAGAAGCCCATCAGTTACCATGCGGTTCACAAGAACGCCCTCCTCCAACAAGGCGTGAAAGTTGATGAAACCCATCTGATGTTGTAAAAAAAAAAAAAGAAAAAAGCAAGAGGCCGCCTGCTAGATCAGATTAGATTTCTCTTTCCAGGGGATAATTATGCCACCAATCAGATCTGGAAAACAAAGGAAAAAAAAGACCCCTTTGCAGGTGGTTGGCTGAACGGTAAGAGTACGACGAGTTGGTAAGACTCAGGAAAAGGAACGGTACAACGTACGTATGTAACTAAGGAATCAATAAATGAACATTTCAGATCCTGTTCACAGTATTCAATAACAAATTAACAATAGTGTTAGGGTCTACCCCATTAAAAGAAAAAAAATCTTTTTTTTCGTGAGTGTCACCAACCCAGGCTGCCATATCACAGTTAACGTACCCCTTCTTTTACATCCCCTCCCCTCTCCTCCTTCCCCCTTTTCTTCCAGCCAAACTACTCCTACAGAATGGTCATGAGCAGTTTTTTTTTTGCCGAGTATGCCATGTCAGTCACAGTAGTAGGTGTTGCCCTCTTGGTTATACGAGGTCCCTTTCTCACTGTGCAAGCCTTGTGTCCCATCTCACCTGCCATTTATCTGCTCAGGACAACAGACATGGCCAATCACCCTTCTCCCCTCCCCTCACTGATCGAGATAAGAGAGTGAGGGTCGATCCACTCTCCTCTCCCTCTTTCTGTATCTGCCCACTAGAAAAAAAAGGGAAAGGGAAGAAATCGTCTTCATACATATTGCTTGCTACCGTCTTCCCCCGAACAAAACGCCCAGTCATTCTCGCTGTATACAGACTGAAAATTGGTCCAAATACAGATATTATGACCGTATGTTCTATTAGCGTGAAGACAGTAGCTTTCAGGTGAACTGGAAGAACCACCATGTTTCAGAGAAGAGAAAACCGCTTGAACAGTTCAGGCAAAAACCTATGCCAGAATGCCAGAAGGTCGGAGATAAGCTTTTCAGGCTAAGTGCTCTCCAAAATGTAGGCTAAGTACTCTCCAAAATGTATAGGCTAGGTACTCTCCAAAACCAAAATGTAGGCTAAGTACTCTCCAAAATGTAGGCCAGTACTCTCCAAAATGTAGGCTTAAGTATTGTTCAAAATGTAGGCTAAGTACTGCAGAAGTTCAGAGATAAGCTTTTCAGGCTAAGTAGTCTCCAAAATGTAGGCTAAGTACCCGTAGGCTAAGTTTTCTCAGCCTAAGTACTCTCCCCCTCTCCAACAAGTAGGTTAAGTACTGCCCAAAATTCCAGCCTTTTATTACCAAAACTGATTTCAGAAAGCTGACGAAAAACCAATGGATTTGATTCCTTGTAATCCGGAGATCCAATCACGAGTTTCTTAAGCCCCCATCCCATTTAAAAAAAAAAAAAAAAAAAAAAAAGCCCCCATCCCATTTGTGTGGACGGACAGGTTTTCGGAAAGGTTTTCGAAAACCTGTTGTCGGTATGGAAGAACGAAATCTAACGAAATCTTTGTTGTGCAGCTGCATAGCCCCTGCCCTTCACTCGAATAGAACGCAGTCTCTGCAGATGCAGAGACCCCCTCTTCCTGATTTCTGATAAGTTTGTAACTGCTTCGCTATTAATTGACTACCGTATTCACCCCCCCGCCCGAATAGAACGCACGGTCGCAATCGCTGTATCTAGACTGGAAGTTCACGCAAATACGGCGATAATGACTGTGTGCTCACTGCTCAGAGATCATGGTTATCTTCTTATTCTTCTTCCTATTCTTTATTTTTTCTCTCTCTCTCTTTTGTTTAAGCAAGGGCAACGGCCTTTGGATATCATCGTTTAACTGACTGGCCGCAGGTAATTCAGAATTACATTGTTTTGCTCATCTAATTGCATCTGGATTCGAACTCAGGTTTGTATTTCAAAAGGTCAATCGGTCAACCAATTGAGCTAGGCCTCTTCTTCTTCTTCTTCTTCTTCTTCTTCTTATTCTTATTCTTCGTCTTATTTTTACTTCTTTTTATTCTCCTTTCCGGAGGCCATGGTGGGTTGCTCTTACCTCAGTAAGAGCCCACCATCTTGTTAAGACAGCGTCATTAGAAACAGCATGTTGCTGCTGCTGCTGCTGTAGCAGCAGCTCATGCTTGTGAATTCCCAGTACTTGGTGATGAAATGAACAGAGCCTTCACCGTGCCAACGAAGGGTAGACTGACTTCCATAGGAGAAGGAGGAGGGGACGGAGGAAGAGGCGGAGGTTGGAGCAGGGGGAAGAGGAGGAAAAGGACGGGGGAGGAGGGGGAAGGAGGGAGTAGGACAGGCGGAGGAGAGGAAGGGGGGCAGGGGAGGAGGGGGAAGAGGAAAAAGAAGAGAAGAAGGAGATGATGATGATGATGATGATGATGATGATGATGATAATGATGATGAGAACAAGAAGAAGATTGATGGATGACGATGATGAATGAATCATTGCGACGGCGGATGGATGGACAACTAAAAAGAGGCGCCTTGAATGCAGCACATGAAGAAAGGTCTGGAATGGGTATATAGAGGTCTAGACGTAGATTCTTCGGAGGTAGGGGGAGCCAAGAAGAAGCAGGAGGAGGAGGAGGCGGAGAAGAAAAATGATGATGGCCGATGAATGGATGAACGAATGAAAAGAGGGTGTCTTGAATGCAGGACGTTGCAGAAAGGACTGTGGAAAAGTGGACTAAGAAGAAGAAGAAGAGGAGGAAGAAGAAGAAGAAGAAGAAGAAGGAGAAGAAGAAGGAGAAGAAGAAGAACAACAACAACAACATGAACAACAACAACAACAACAAGGGCAAGAACTTGAACAAGGAAGAGTGACAAGAACAAGAGCAAGAAGAAGTGACAAGAAGTGGCCACTTCTTGTCACTTCTTGTCACTTCTTCTTACCATGTGTCTGCTTTAAAACAATATATACACTCACAACCCGCATGTACAAGCCTCAGAACGGGAAATTCTCCCCAACGCGTTTCGACCGGCTGTGCTCGGGTAAGACGGGAAGGCCAAGAAGGGGGAAGGGGGGGGGGGGGGGTAGACGAAGAAAAACTCGAAATGATCTTAGCTGCGACACGTGGCAGAGAAGTCAGAGTAGATAGGGAGAAGTTGGAGGAGAGAAGAAGAGGAAGAGGAAGAAAAACTATCATAACGTGGTAGGAAAGTCAGACTGCGGGGAGGCGAAGAAGGGAGAGGAAGAGAAGGAAAGGAACAACGAGAAGAAGGAAAACGGTCGGGGGAGGGGGAGGCGGGGGGGGGAAGGGAAGCAC